GTATTTTGTATGTTCATTGCACTTTAGAGCAAATTCTGAGAAATAAAGCCACAAAGTGAGAATGTTTTTGTTTTGGGCATTTTTAGAGAAAAATAAATTCACAAATATTAACACAAATTATTCAAATTAATTTGTAAAGACTAATATGTTGTCTTTTGTTAGGACTAAAACTAAACATTTTTTAAGCTTTCGTCGTAAAACTCGACTAAAACCTTTAAATATAGATATGACTAAAACTGACTAAAACTAAGAAGTATTTTTGTTCAAAAGACTAAGACTAAAATTAAAATGGCAGTCAAAAACAACACTGTACGGCACCTCGTGGACATGTCTATATAAATACGCGAGGCTGCGCATGTGCATTGATTTTGCCCGATGTTGGAGCAGCTCTGGGGGTCAATCTACAAAGATCACGTCGCCCCAACAGGAAAACAAATGAGCACAACTTCTATATTTTCAAAGTAATAAACCAAAACCAGACCAGTTTTGTGAAACCCTTGTTATATTAATAAATATATGATAATATTTAAACACAAATGCAGTCAAAATGTTTTGTTCTGTTTGAAAAGTTGATGGAAACATGCAGCGTGCAACATTTGAATACACACATGATACACATGGATTTTATTTTGAAATCAAAAGTTTCACAAACACAACGTTGATGCAGTTTCAACTGTGATTACACCGTTTACCACAGAATGAATTAGTTTGTCCTGAATCCACATTTATCACTGGATTTATTGAGCGATCTCACATTTCCTGCAAATGCTTCTGTGAGTTCCTCACACTGCCGAACCGGACCGACACGACCCGTCTGGACTGCAGCAGAGCTGCATGTAAGATCATCGGGGTAGGAAACGCAGCAAGAGAAAGTAGCAGGAGGAAAAATGATTTTTTAAATAAGAAATATAAGAAAAAAGCTCCAGTGTAGAWAGTAAATTATTATATAATTATTATGAAGAGTCTTTAATGTTAAGATGTAATCAGGCAAATATTCACATATGTACATTTATTATTATTATTTAAAGGTGAGCTGTGTACATTTGTTTGTATCAAACAAGTAGCTCTTCATGTTCCTCTGTACTCCTGAAGCAGCTCTGTCTCAAAAAGGGTGAGTATTGTCAACTGTGTCTTAAATAACACATAATTACATTAAATCATATTTAAAATTTCCTGTCCACTTTTAACATTATTTCTGTTTTGGTAATCTTATAAATATGACATTTATTCATGTGTGAGAAACATGTTTTTTTGTTTATTCCGTTGGTATTAAAACAGCTGACACAGTAATTGTTAAACATAATGATGTGCTTCTTTTCAGCATATTTAAAAACAAGAACTTCATGCTATTGAAATACTCTAAATTCAAGAGAAAACTCAGGTTTTTAAGAGAATGTCCACTTATTAATTAATCAATCCATCAATAGGATCAACCAATTTTAGATTCATTAATTAATAACTTGCGTTCATAGTCTGAGTCAAAACAATGAGGTGATTTTTGAACATGAAGCTACAGCTTGTGTTTGAGGTGTAAGATGAAGGTTTGCTCAGTTCTTCACATATTTATGATAATTACTGTGTTTCTATTCTAACTGATATAAAATCAAAAATAATACCAATAATATTAAATAACAAATTATGATGATGACATTAATAATAATAATTATAAAACAAACAGAGCTTTAATATTGGAATAGTATCGGTCAATATAAACAATTCAGGTATCTGATCAGAAGTTAAAAACATGGATCATCCCTGGTTGCAGCATCAAATTCAAAATGAGTGAATATTTGCAAAAAAAATATCCAAAGTTTATCCATTTAAACATTAAATATCTTGTCTTTCCAGTAGGGCTGCCACAAACGATTATTTTTATAATCGATTAATCACCGATTTTTTCGATTAGTCGACTAATCG